AGAATCCCAAAGGTATTTAAAAAAATTAGAGTCTCTTTGAATTTCGTGTAATGGAACGATAGATAAAATATCTTCCTTTGAATCTAATCCATTCCAAGTTAAATTCACATTAAATAAATATTGTTTTATATCTTGTATGTCATCTAATCTCCATTTACAAATTATGTATCTAAATGCAAAAATCATATCTTGTAGATCAATATGTAACTTAAAACATTTTGTTGAAAATTACCTTTCAGAATTTGCAGGGCGACTAGTGACTGGTTTGTAAATACTTATTTGTTTAAAACTCTGGTACAAAAGGAACAATAAACCAGCACTAAATTCAGTGAATATATCAAAAAGTTTACACATAAAATGACCACCTGGTTGAAGAATACTCAAAGCAGCCAAAGCTTGACATAAATACAATCGTTTCGATAAAATTTCTTGGAAACTTTCTTGCCCATCAACAGAAAACCCCTGTAAAACAGATGAAAAGCAAAATTTTATAACATTAATATTAAATTAATTTTTTAATTTTTAAATTACTTACACCATCAGCCATAACGAAATGCACACCTTTTCCATCAGTCATTTTCATAACATACCTTTCTAATGACAGAATATTTTTTGGTTTGTAGACATCACCATCTTCATCGTGACCTGAATAAAACAATGTATAGTTTTGAGTTTAAAACCTCATGTACTAAAAAATATCTAAAATTAATGCAAAACACTTTTGCAACCAAAAAGTGTCATTCTGTAGGCAAATTAAAAATCAAAAATAAACATCATTTCTGTCCATTTTATAAAAATTAAACTTGGTATACATAATCCAATATAATCATATTTTTAAAAGCTATACAACCAATTCAAAAAAGGGTTAATCATACTTTATAAATACGATATATTCATTATGATATAATTTTGACAAAAAAAAAAAATTATTACTAGTATTTAATTATTGATTAATTATTATATGTATAAACTTTAGAACTAATTATTAATAAATAGTATAATGTTATAATTGATAAAAAAAACATCAACGTTAGTTTTCAATAAATTTTTTTTAAATGTATGCAGAATTATACATTTGAAAATAAAATAAAATCACATCAAACATTTATTTTTACTTATTCTATACAATAAACATATGCTTACCATAAAAAGCTTCAAATGACTCTGGAGAACCAGCATAAAAATCATTCAATTTGAAATCGTTTGCATTGCGTAACGTAAATCCTACCCCTTTTGCTTTCCAACTTTTTCGCCATAATACGTATTCAGAAAAACCTCCGGGTCCAGCACATATATCAGCAAAATAGAGTAAACTACTAGGACTTGTTAGCATAGGTGACTAAAATTATAATAGTTATCATAAACAAAAATATAACGCAAAAAGACTAAGGAAACATACACCATCATTGTATTTAGGATCAGTGAACATAAAATCACATGCCCAATCAATATTGGCCATTTTCATTGCAGCTCGGTTTTGGAATATTCCATTTTTCACTGTTTCAAATGGATTTGCTTTAGTTCTAGCATGACGGAAATCATGGTCATCAATATTATCCAAGACATTCTATGTATATGAATAATTAATTGTAATATAATAGATAAATAATATCATACTTTGAAAAAAATAAAAATATACCTTGCTACAATTAACAACTCTAAAAATCTCTGAATCTGCAAACTCTGTTGTTTGATTATAAGTTAATTTTTTTTCACCAATTTCAACCCAATCATTCATATCCTCAATTGATAATACCAGTGGATCTTCATTTTCTAACCATTCGGTCACTTTTAAAATATCTGCAGACTTTAATTGTATATTAAATATATTTCATTTTCTATAATCTTTGATGTTATATTTACTTCTTCTTGTTCAGGACCCCAGTCCAAAACAAAAGATTCTCTTGGCTCTCGTGATGCAAAACCCAAACCTCTACGACCTTTTTGAGTAGGTAACTGTACTGGATTCACCAATCCTTGAGCATTTTTTCCCAATCCTTCGCCTTCTTTGTAACCACTTTTTTTCTAGAAATAAAATAATTATTAAATGTAAAAAGTAGATACCATTTTCAATTAATTTATTATTTTAATTAGTAATTTATAAGTGTCTTATAATATTTAGTAATTACCATTAAGGACATGCCCTTGTTACTCTTTTCATTTTCTTCAACAGTTCTATAAGTCTTTGTAGGGTGATCGTCTGATGCATTTGAATCAGAATCAATTGTTCTTGAACAAGAAGCGCCATCAGATTGTTCAGTCCTCGATTGTGTCCCATGATTAGAAAAACAGTTAATACTATCACTGTCCGAGCTATCTTCAGAAGAAGACAAACTTCTTTTATTTTTAGGCTCTAATAAAAAAAATTAAAGTTGAAATTGTATTTAACTAAACTTCTTGCTTAAATATTTAAATACCTAGCTTAATATCGCTCTTCATAAATGCAACTGGATTATTTAAATACGATTTTTCAAGATTATTTGGAGCATAGTTGTTAGCATACTTTATTTCTTTTGAATCATCTATAGTTTTATTTGACTATAAATAATAATATTAAGTGAACTAATGATTAGGTAATGAACTGTTATTACTTATTAGTTATTAGTTACTGTAAGACAAATATTAACTTTAGATGATGATTGGCCTTTGGATTTAAATTTTTTTTTATATTTGTTGTGTTTGGTTTTTTTAGCTTTAAAAACATTATCAGCAACATACGGAAGATCTTCTTGGCTATCATCTTTAGTATAAAACTTTGATGTAGCTCGATCTTCGATTTGGTGAACTTTCAATTTTTTAGTCTTATGCTTAACTACCTCATCCTCGCCTGATGATGATGAAGATATATCGCTGCTGTCTGACAAATTTCTTGCCCTAAATTATATTGCAATGTATATAATATAAGAAGACAAATAAATAGATAACTTCAATACTTACATCATGTTTTATGTTCAACAAAAAATCAAGATAGAATTATTTTCAAAACACTTTTATTATGTTTTAAACTATAAGAAAACTTTAAAAAACGTTTTCAATTTTTATCATAGCCAATATTGACATTTTGACAGCACTTAAGAACGCCTAATACATCTATTAGCATAGATAAAATACGTACATCAAAAATTACAAAATTTATAATTTTTTTAAAATTGGATATTTGCCACTATTTAATATTTATACAGGAGTTTATATAGCACCTACTTGATTATACTATAATAATTATATACCTACAATAGTCCATAAAAGCCTTTGGTTATTCACAAATAGGTATTCGTTTGACGTTCCAAATACCAAACGATGAAACGAATCAACTGAAAATCATTGAGATAGATAAGAATATACCAATTGAGTATTATCACCGGGGATTAAGATACATAATCACGTATATTATTGTTCTTCCCTATATTCTTATCTATCTCAGTAAAAATGTATTTTTTAAAGATAATGTAGATCATAGACACAAAATTTTATTACATGTTTAAGATGTAAATATTTCATTATTTCATTATTAATAAACTGATAAGGTCTTAAAATATTTTTGAATTTATATTAAACGTAGGTACATATTAAAAAATTTTAAATTTTTATTACTATGATATTTAATAGAAACTAACTCTGTGACAATAATATGTAGTACCTATATCAGTCAGCGTTTCAGCGATATATGCAAATAAACAATCGGTTTAAATGAAAACATATTTTGATTTTAAAAATTGTATAATTTTTACCTATACGTACTACGCAGTACATAATAATTAGTAACAATAGGTCTAATTCCTAGAAACCGGTAAACTTTTTACGCCCCAGCCCGAATTTATAATATTTTTGGACCATGTGTGCTAAAAACCTGTAGAATGCCTTCGGCATAAAGTGTGAGTGAAAAAGAAAATATGCTTGGCAATAAATACTAATGAAAATACTACTAACATAAATATTCACTAAATATATTTTAATATTTATTGTAAAAATTGAATAATTGTACCTAACAATTAAAATTAATTGATTGTTATAAACTGTATGTTTGATATTAAATAGGATAAATGTAGGTACTAAGCATTGGAGCAACTAGTGGGGAGGGGGTGCTTCAGAACACCCAGGGTTTAATCAAATGCCCCTGAGCCCGCCATAAAACACTATTATACACACACGTGTACAACTGTTAGATATTTTAATAGATTTTTAGGTACTCATCTGAAAGTGAATCTGGCATAGGTTTGTACCAGTACACAGCAGAAAAGAAATTGCATTTATTGAGTGATAAAAATTGTATAACAGACATATAACACAATGTCCATAAACATCTTGGCTGTGAAATGTATAATTAAAATACAATATTATAAATATATTAACTCATAATACATACAATTTTAGGATTACAAAATTGAAAATTTACTTAAATAAAACTGATAAATAATTAATCAATTGATTATAACTATTTTTTTCTTACTGCTAAGAATCCCTATTGCAGTTAAATTATTTATTCGGTATAATGTATACATTTTACTTACTAAATGCTTCTATATATTATATACCTAAGGGATTGAAATTGTTAATTAATAAATAATAAGGGCTGCATTTTAGGTCAGTTTATTACACCAGATAAATCCACATTCGTTTAACCTCATAGTAGAGTATTAAATATTAATGTTTAAATCTTATCATACTTATTCAAATGTATACAGTGAGAATAAATATAAATTAGTTTCAATATTATATTATGAATAATATTAATAAAGTAATACATTATTAACAATTGTAAGTATACTAGATAATATAATTTAAGTCTAAAATATAATAATTAAAACACTACCTTAATAACTTATTATTCTCTTATTCTTAGAATTAAATTAATGTAATTTTAAATAATAAGTATATACTTTAAATCTTTGTTGCTCTTTAAATAGATTTTTAGCTGACATACAAATAAAAATGTTGTACCACTAATTAAATGAACTTAAAAAATGTACAAATAATTAATAAGTAATACCAAAAAAGGTCATACGCTGGTTATATACTTATATCAACTAAAATAATTATATTACATTAAATACTATCTTAAATTAAAAAATAGTAAAATATATTACACAATTATTTTATGAGTTACGAATACCCAACTGATGTTCAAGTTCTGCTCGTTTCTGTTGAACTTTGGAATAGAAGTAACGATTAACAGCTTCTTGAGTCCACGGTTGATAATAAAATTCTGCTCTTCGTTCTTCTTCTGGATTTCCAACTACATCTGTCATCGTCTAAAATATTGACAAACATAATTAGTTTAATTTAATCAGCATTAAACATGATGATATTTTTAGTTTTGACTAACAAATACTGATTATTAAAACAATTGTGGAGTAAAAATCTATATCTATAACACAACAAATTTTCTAGAAAAAGTAATATTCACTTAAGATTATCATATTTGATACACGGTCAACTTAGAAAGTCATCGCCTATAATGTATGGTATAAGCATAGATTATAGACCTTTAAGTTTATACTAATAAATAACACTGTTATAGATGGAACATAGTAGTAGTTTCAGCAACAAAACATAACTGCTCTGATCACAGTTGTACCTAGCTAATAGACTAATAGACTATAAATCAAGGCTATAGGATTGTTTAATGATTGACGAAGTCATGGTGCACATTACTACAATTCATATTATAAAGTAATTCATTTTTTAACAGTCAAATCTGGATGATTCTCGCCCTTTGAAATCTTTGTATATTATTTTTGAGGTATATATCTCAATGCAAGTCAAATTTAATTTTACTACAGTTGAGATTTGACTGTATAACAATATAACGCATATATTAAAAATTTAATACATAATGTATTAATGTAAATCATTATTAATAAAGATATAAAACAATACATTCGATATTTCTATATTGTATTATAATAACAAATATTTTGGTCATAGGAAATGACATCATAGCAGGCTGTGGTAGGCAAGATTTCACCACCATCCACATCCAGCCGAGATATTCTATCTGTTAGTATAAGGTCTAGGAGTATATCCGTTTCAAAATATTTGATACATATTTATTTTCTTAAACAGTCATTAACACATTAAAAATGTAGAATTTGGATAATGTGCAGAGGATTTAAGGATTGTGAATCCAAAACAGTGTGTAATAAATTTAAACTCATCTATAAATACCTTTAAATCTCTTGTCTGGGAGATTATCCATTTATATATAAATTGTTGAGGATCTTTAGCAAAACTTAAAAAGAATTCTCTGTTTGTCTTTAACTGATTAATTGTTTCAACTGTTTCATGGATCTTGTTATCTAGGCTCTAAATAAGAACAATATGAAATTGTAACAAGTATAAGAAATAATATATTATATAATTTAGAAAATTACCTGTATTTCTTGCTGACTAGCGGTGGATAGTAAGAAATTATTCATTTGTGCTTTTAAAGTATCATCTACTTCCACATCAATATCATAACATGCAGTTTGTTTTTGTTCAACGCCCTCAACACTTAAAAATTAAATACAATTAGTTGAATAACAAATACCAACAAGTATATAATTATTCAATTTTACCTTATAATATGGTTAATTACAATAGGATCAGGAGGATGAAGTAAAGTATTAAGTCTCTGTGGGACTTCAGCAAATTTCATACGAGTACAATTAAATATTTGTTCCAAATACTTGTCACAATTGATATATTCTTTTTCGTGAGAATCCTAAAAAAAATATTATTTAATATAGGTAGTTTGAAATATTTGCACATAAATATAAATATATTATTGTTTACTTGTAGCTTATGAGTTTTTATAAACTGCCAAAGAGCACTAATAATAACTGGTCTGGTTTGAGTATGAACACCCAAAAGTCGAGCTAAACGTTGGTCCAATTTAAATTGTAATGGCTGATAATCAAGAAGCAATAAAATAGTACAGCGTACATTTTTATCTCCAGGCCGTTTTACCTAAAAATTAAATAAAATTATTTATGTAAAAAAAAAAAAAGTAAACACATACTTGAAATCCATCAGTTTCCTGAGTAGTTGCGGTTCTATGCCATTCAACCAAATGATTATCAGGCCCATATAAATCTTTATCAAGTTCAATGACCAGTGATTTAAAAAAAGAAGAAAATTTTCTTTTTATCTTAAATAAAAAATACAATAAGTTAGTGAAATTTAAATAAAAATAAATTATTAGTAAAAAATTACCTTATTTGGCTCATTTTTAGAATCTTCTAGTAAACGTCCTTCAACTCTTAATTCCCAAGAAGCAACACTTCCTTCTTCATTTTCTCCAGGTTCTTTTGCCGGATAAAATGTATTTGATATAAATATACGCAATTTACGTTTTTGTTTCATTGGACGTTTTAATGCTTCCTATAATTATAATATTGGAACATAAATATTCATCACAAACTTAAGATGACTCTAAGGATATATTACTTGTATGTCTAATCGTTTTCTCATGATTGTTGAATCTAATTTTCTTTCAAATGCCAAAAGATCCATGTATGCTTGTGATTCTGGAACAAGATCTCTTACTTTTTGGGGCAATATTTTATCCGCCAATTTTTTCTTTTTTTTGCTCATTCCAATACTGGTATTTTGAACTTGTATGTTGTGAGGAAAATCACTGTAAATCAATGTATATTAATATTTTTCTATATAAAATACAGAATATAAAAACTAATAATGGGAATAGCTTTAGAGAATTAATTTCAACTTTAAATTAAATTGAAGTCTTGTACACATATTATTAATAAGAAGTAACTAATAAAATTACAATGTTGAATAAATAAATTAAAAAATTATATAGTAAATTATATTTAACTCAACATAGCAGTAAAATAAAATAATACTTAAATATATTTTTCAACCTGTAATATTTAAAAAAACTATATTTTAAAACTGCATTACTATCAGTACACAGAAACAGTCAATGTAAAATAATATGATTTTACAGTACAAGAACAATGCAACTACAAATGATTAGTCTTAATAAACATTTTTATCGAGTTCCTTGTACTCAATTGGAAAAATATGTGCATAATCTAATGTAATGTCCAAAGAGGGAAATAAATATATATATTTTTATAAGTTGTATTTAACATGTATTTTAAGTTTAAGTCAGTTTTGGTAATTATTGGTCTACTATTAATTTGTACTAATCTATTAAGACTTATTTCATACCCCATACTTTGAAATATACTAATATGATAAGTGTTAGAACTGACCAAATTTACTAAACAAATAGTTACAAACTTGTACAAGTAAATGTATGAAAACAAATAATATTTTAAATTTTTAACCGTACGTAATTCAACACTTGGAAATTTGCTAATAGTTCATATAAAAGAAAAATATTTATTATTTACACCTAATTTCACAACATTAATTTGAGACTTTAATTTTGATTAGACATAAAATATTAAGTTCTATAGAATTAAAAATGTACATTACATTCTTAAATTTTTTCTAACAATACATACCCTTTGACCATAGGCGGTGGATTTCGATTATCGGCAGGTCGTTTGCCAGGAGTTGGCTGGTTTGGTACCATTGGGCCAGCACCGTGTCGCATAGGGCTAAATCCTTGAGTGGGGGGTCCACGAGCTCCCATCATGGCATTGGGTGGTACACCTTGAGGTATTGGTCCTCCTTGCTGGTACATGCCGGGCCTTTGCTGCATCTACAGTTTACATACATTATAATATTATAACAATGACCATTACAGACGAATATAATTTATAAGTATAAGCATACTAACCGGATACGTTTGATTTGGGTATTGGCCGAATCTGTTTTGTACATTAGGATTTGTAGGAGTAGGCGGAAAATTCGACATTTTGGAAACCTTCGGTATTATAATTAATATCAAATTACTTACGAAATAACATTAATATTAATTATTCATGTAACTATTAAAACAGTAAAATCGTTAACATGAAATGCCAAACTACCAAGTGCCAACTGCCTATGAATTGTAAATATCTTGAGTTTTCTATAATTGTAAACAAACTAAAATGTAAGTAAGTGTGTTATCATCGGCATTTGGCACAACAATGTACAAACTGACCACAGTTTCGGGCTGGTAGAGTATTTTATACCTTGGTATAATTGATTAACTTATGACCGATGATAATAGATGGGTTTCCACTGGTTCGTTTTCGTGTATGTATGATCCTGTTTGGTGATTGGACAGTTACAACAGTGAAGTAGTCCGTGATACAAATCGTTTGCTGTGATTGGGTGTTTAGGTTAGGTTACTACACGATTAACCACGTTACCGCGTTGTTGTGCATAGCTCAACATTTTTCGTGTACACGGCACACGCATATAGTGGAAACCCGCCTAAGTTGAATCTATAGCCATGAATTCAGGGTGACACAACTGCTTCTACTAAATGCACTACAACTGCCGCGACATATTATTATGCAAATAAACAATTATCCCACTTCGATATTTTATTATTACAACTTTACTATCTCGAATGTAATTTATAAGAGTATCTATTCTGTGTATCAACTACAACGATTTTAGATTGTATGCCATACGGCGTACAGTGAGCCACGATCGTTACCATAATAAATAATATTGTATAATTGTATGGGTAAAATAAGTGCATTACTGAAGTGTTCAATATTGTCCATAACTACGTTTTACTTCATTGCAAGTAAGTACACTATAATCGCGACATAAATTATTTATTTATACGGGAAATCCCTTTTGATAATGATTTAATTCACAAAGTAAATACAGTAATGTATGAGATAAAGTAACTTAATGAGTTAACAAAAATTAGAGAGCAGACTAATAAACATGAAACAGTAATTAATATTGAGTAAGCAATATAATAAAGAAGTATAACAGACAACTATGACTTCTGAAAATAAAACTGTGAGCATAGAAAATAGCATTTAAGAGTAAGGATCTAGGAAGGAAGGGTCATTACAACCTATTAGGTACATATATCTGCGATATTATAGTCAATATGAGTACATCTGCCAATTATCTAGACACAGCGAGCAATTATTGGTATAATTAGTTTATTAAAGAAAGATTATGGAGATGGCTCCGAGTGATCAAAGCTTAAAAAATGAACCTATTTAAAAAAGGCGGAAAATTGCTCGTAACGCTCTGCTGTACATACTTAGGTGTCTAGCGATAGTTACTGTCATAGGTGTGTTAAATTTGAATTCATTGATAAACAGCCAATGTAAACGAAAAACGATTCTGAGTGAGTACGATCCAACATCCAACAACTCATATTAGGTACTAAGTATATAGATTATAGGTATATTTCTTTATATTATTCCGATTAAAACGATTTATTTTACTATTAGGTATTAGTATTACAGTAATTAAAATTCATAATTGTGAAAAAATTGAATTTTAAAATGTAATTGTATGAAATATTGAAATACAATAATATACCTACTTTAAAAGTTTCAAGTATACACACGAGGCCACGAATATAATATTCTTAAATTACGGCAAAATAACTAGAATTATTCTTGATTTTAATATGTATAATGCATTATCGTCCAAATTTGAATTTCAAAAAACTATATAAAAAATTCGTGTCAATATATATTTTTTAGATTTTTTGGGTACAGAATGTACTTCTTGTATTAGATCTTGTTTTAAATTTTAAATCCTTAACTATAAAAATATTTTATACATTTTTAATTGTTTATAAATAATTAGTCAATTTTCAATTTGAACAATTTTGTCAACATTTGAACTTTATACAATTATAAAAAATTTTTTAATAAATTATTAATATTTTAAAATTGATATTGAAACAATGTGTGAGGAGCCTTGTATCAATTTTTCAAGCTTTCATACCCAACAAATAAAATTGTATTGACATTTATGAAATAAAAACCAAAAAAAATTCATATGTCAAATGTTGAAATGTATATACATCGTATAACTCAAAACAAAACAAAATATTTTGAGAATTAAAACAATTTGAAAAATGTTCTTGATTTGTACAAATTTTGTTAAAATTCAAAATTCAAATTCTCGTAAAGTATTATTTTGGATTTGAGCTCAATTTTCATTAACAACAACTTACAATGAAACTTGTATACAATTTAAAATCTTTTGAAAGAACGAACATTTTTATCGACATTAATTTAAAAAGAAAAAACTTATAGTAATTGAAAATTTCATAGTATGCCTATAAAGTATAAATTGTTCAAAACAATTCAAAATATGTTGACAATTTGATGGTGTATAGAAAATGCGAGTATAAACATTCGATGAAAATATCATGTTTCTTAACGGTACCTATGCTATTTTAGGTATGGTTAGGTTATGTATCTAACGATATTTTTTTTAGAGTTACACCAAACACCAAAATCGATTTTGTCAAAAACAAATTTTGAGTTTCTTAAATTTTCAATTGTTCACCCTGACGCTTTTGAAAAGTATTGGAAATTTTTTACTTTTGAAAAAACCAATTACGGCATTACCCATACACATTTTTCCTTTTATATCTAATATTTGAACATTTAATTCAAGATTTCTCACAAGTCTGTCTATCTTTATCAAAAAAAAAAGTCTACCGTAAAGTCAAATTCAATTTTTGAAGCGTATTTGAAGTTCAAATGTTTACAACATTGGATATTTATTCGATTTCTCGTGGTACGGTTTTCTTATTTTGTTGTAATTAAAAAACGACTAACCTAAGATACTTAATTGTAATAATTTTATTTGTTAGGTCAAAAAGCCGGACAATTTAATACAAGGATCCTGATCATTGTTACAATAGGAATTGAAAATATTAAAAATACATATGCTTGATTTTTCTTATAAATGATGAGCATTTAAAGCTCAAAGTAATGTTGACAACATATTTTACTAGGTATCGTGGTAGCGCGATTTAAGAGGATGTGATACCCGCACGTGTATCTCCGTCTGACAAGTGCGTAATATAGCAAATTTCAAGCTGGGGCGCTGGGCTGTTCACTTTTAGCAACGTTAGTTTTAAAAATTAGAGTGAATTAATTAATTAACCTCTCATACGATTTAAGGTAAAACTATAATCTAGAGTCTAGACTCCAGAGCCCCACTTAGCCTTTTGTTGATATCATAATTTTGAAGTATGTTATGACCTTTTTTGAAACTGTTCATTTTAAAATGATGATACCTTACTTAAAAATAGTAATATCAACAAAAGATTACGTGGGGCTCTAGATTATAGTTTTATCTTTAAATTATATAAGAGGTCAAACCACTGTAAATCTTAAACTAACGGAGCTAAACGTGATCTGCTGAGCGTAAAATTTGCCATGTTACGCACTGGTAAGACGGAGACAACATAATATGCGGGTATCACGTCTTATTAAGAAAACGCCACACCTGCATGTGTTGTCTCCGTCTTACAAATGTACAACATAGCAAAAACTGTTTTGTGCGGGACAACTTTCCTCTCACCATATTTGTAGTTGAATTACCAAATTTTCCCAACACTTAAAGAAAAACTTTATACTCAATATGTTCAGAAATTTTGGAGGCACAAGGCACAACTACAAACACAGAACGATAAAAGTTATCCCGCTCAAAACAGTTTTTGCTATGTTGTACATTTGTAAGATGGTGACAGCACATGCGGGTGCGGCGTTTTCTTAATAAGACGTGATACCCGCATATGTTGTCTCCGTCTTACAAGTGCGTAACATAGCAAATTTTACGCTCAGCAGATCACGTTTAGCTCCGTTAGTTTAAGATTTACAGTGGTTTGACCTCCTATATAATTTAAAGTTTATATTTGTATATCTTAAATCGTGGTATATATTCGTCCGTTGTTATCACGATTAAAGATAAATAATTGTTATAAATAGATATATGTGGGTAATGATTGACGATCTACGACCCAGGTACATCGTACATAACGGATATACCAAAAAGATATTTTCGTTTTTGATAGTAATATTATGAATTATGATATTTTTAACTTTTGGCTCCAAAATTTGGATAAATCGATAAATGACAAATGTCCTCACTTCCTCAGTTCTCATGACTAGTGTTAAGGCAACGTAGTTACTAATTTACTATTTAAGTTGTTACATATTTCAATATTTGTAATTACTAATAAAGTAATAACTAATAAGTAACAAGTATTACATTTACGGTGACGTTTTTTCTATTTGCACACGCCACACTTCTTAACTTTTTTTTTATTTTTACCCAAATTATCTGTAAGAAGTGTTATGTCTATATAAAAAGTATGTTTACATTTGTGGTTTATTTTTATGATTCACCGTTCCTAGTATTTATAGTATAATATAATATATTAATATGTGGTTCATACTTATTATTTTATCTCAAAAATACAAATCTTTGTGCGACTGATGTCATTATTATAATCATTACTAAGTCAGGTGAGCAAAATTATATTAAACTATTATGAGGATGCTACCCACGCTTTTGTTGTCTCCGTTTTACCAATTTACGACATACCAAATTTTCGTTCACTAGTTTGAATAGTGTGCCGTTGGTTTAGACATTAGTAAATTTAAGTATTATCAAACTTTTAGGTAAGAACATTATCTATGCTGAAGTGACGGCGGATTCTCAATATTTTCCTTTTCGAGCAAGATACGAGTATGTGAAATAACACAAATTAAAAATGCATCTAAATAATCAAAGTGGAATTATTGTATTGTAAAGTACCTACCGACACATGAACAGATGATGTTCATACCACTAAGTTAGTTACATAGTAGGTTGATTCACCCTAATTTTGATCTAATGAAGCTAGATATTAAATACTGAGTGTAAATTTGCCATATTATACCTGTGTAAGACAGAGACAACAAATAATGCTGTTGTTATGTTGTTTTTAAATAATGCTCATGATCATCCATAACATTTGAAATCAGTGAGTCAATAATATTATTTTTGATTATAATTAGTAGAATGGAAAAAAATGTTCACAATAAAAGAAGATTCCGTTTCCGTACAAAGATTATGCTTCATGAGGTCCAAAAATGCAAGAAAGAAAAAGAAAAGAAAAGTAGATTTTTGATAATACCTAACAATTATTACATTTTTATCCCCAAAATATCAAAATTATTTTTAAAAATATATTTTTATTGTTATTTTACCTAATTACAGATGCTATTACTTCTTCATCCATTATTTCAAATGATTCAAAAAATGATGGAGTCAATACAATAATGTAAGTGTGGAAATTGATTTTCGATATTATTCCTTCCCATATTTTTGAGTTTAGGCACTATAATTTAAATTGTATTTAAATCCTGTTTTAAAATCTTCAAAAGATGACAAAGAATGAAAGAACTTACATTGTAAGTATCTATGAAAATTGAACTGAGTGAATATGCTAATTTATATTGTATAATTAATGACAATTATTATTATTGCATTGTATGTAATGTAATGTAATTATAATTGTGAGTGGAAGCAAGTGCAGAGAGAGTGGTACTATAATTGTGAAATTAATTATGTTGTGTATTGTTATTCTCAAAAATATATTTATTAAATATTATTTTTTTTAGACTTAAAAGAAAAAGAAGGAGAGGTAAAAAAAAGGTTGGGCCTTTGAAAATATATATTTTAAACATGTTTTAATTAAAAATTCTTATGTTAAATTTAGAAACAAAAAAATGGAAATTCAAAAAGTGATAAACCTAAATTTAATTCACAAAAACATCGTAATATCCAAACAAACGAGAAAAATTCCTTTGGTTTAAATAAACGTAAGAAAAATCCTTACAGAAGTTAATATTTTTACTGGTCAATTTAAATCAACTAATGAAAATTGTTTTATTTGATAATATTTTTAGAGTTAGTAGATACTAGTACCAATATCATCATTAGTTTAGCGAATGACAAACTGAATTCATCAATGTACGTATAATAATTATAACTAAAGTTTATTTAAAAACTATTGCGATGATTAGTTAAATTTAAGTTAACTATTACGAAATTGGTATATTTTTTTAGTTGTTGGGGGTTTGGTGCTTTGTATTTAAAAGGCCTCGCTAATCATAGTCCCAACCATGTATAAAATTAAATGAACTAGTCTTCCCTTTAAAACATACATGTACTCACACTCTGTATTTAAAAAAAATGTATATTAGATGCTCAAAAGTAATGTTTTAGATTTGGAAAATATTGTAGCTTTTTAATATTTAGTGAAAATATTAATATTCTAGTAAGGAGGTATAAGTTATATCATATTGCTTGAAAGTATAATTGACTTATTTAATAGAACATATTATGTTTTTTTTTTTTTAGATTAAGACCACAAGTAAAAATAATTAAAAAGAAAATGGATAAAAAGCCTAAGGTTCTAACTCTTGTTTACTTATATTAAAATTACAAAAATATATAAGAAATCAAAATAGTATTTGAAATTTAAAAACATATTTTTGTTTATTTTAGAGTCATAATACAAATATTTTGGAAAATAATAATGTGGTATGTACAGATAAGTGTCAAATAAAAGAGTGCTTAGAATTTCTTTTAAATTGCCATGACCACCAAAAAAAAACTTACAAGGGTTAGTGTTTATTTAATATTTATATTCATTGTTAAATTATGTTTAATTGGATTGCACAAAGCCGAGCAAGTTAAGAGTTTAATTTGAGTTATTCGATAAAATTAATTAATTGAACAAAGCTAAAGTTAATTTTAGTAAATAAGTTAAGTTATATACTTTCTGGAAAATAATAACATAAATTAAGTTAAAAGTTACTTTTTTAAAAACCCATTAACCACTCTCATCTACATATTTTATGGTCCATGAATAGAAAAAAAACTTATTTTTATCTTAGCCTTGGAATAAGATAATAGATCAGTGTTTCTCAACCTTTTTTAAGTTACCGCCCCCTTGAGTGTCAAAAAATTTTTTAACGGCCCCTACAATGTGAGAATTCTATAGTAAGGGTTAGGTTAAGGGTATTTGGAAAATTTAAAAGAAAAAATTGAAATTATCTAATAACTCATGTTTTTATTTATTTTTTATATTTGATATATTTTTTATTTATAGTTCTAGTATTATGGTAATCTACCACCCAAAATTAGTTCACCGCCCCCCTACCACCCAAAACTAGTTCATTGCCCCTCGGTGACATTTTACCGCCCACTGGGGGGCGATATTGCCCCCGTTGAGAACCACTGTAATAGATTAAGAATGAATACAACTGACTTATATGCATAAGTATTATACTTTGAGTACAGCACAGGCCCCCATTTAAACTATATGCTCTGTAATGTGATATTCACATAAAAATACACATTTGTTTTCAACAAAGAAATGCAAAAAACATACACAGTTCTTTATACAAATATATTGTAAATAACTTTAATTTTTAATAAACAATTAAGTTATGCTTAAATAATTTAAAAACAAATAACTTAGTTACTTTCCGTCATTCTTTTTTTTTAACAAGTAGAGTTTAAAGTTATCAATTAACTTAACTTTTATTTTTTTAACCAGTTACTACTTTGGAATTGTATGTTATACAGATATTTGTTTGTTTTCACATAACAAACTAATAAACAAACATTTATTTTCATAAATATTTTATTTATTCATAAAGTTGTTACAAAGTTATCATTGTTTAGAAATGTTTAATGCTGTGCATAATCAATTTTTTAAATTTTTCCTCATTTTATTCATAAAAATATAAATTAGTGATCATTAGACAATATCTGATATTCACCAAGTACTAGTTACTATCAAGGTTGGGCATTAACGAGTTAAAAATTAAAATTAAATTAAAACGTTAAGTTAATATTAACTAAAATAAATAACTCGTTACTTTTTTTTTGAAACTAAATTTTAACTTAATAAGTTAATTTTTTTACAAATTGAACGTGTTAACTTCAAGTTAATTATACACAGATTTCTTACAATTAAGTTATATTTTAAATTTGATACAACCCATTGATTTATAACTTGATGCCTTAAGAAATATTAGGTATAAATATATAATATAAAATAAATGGAAAAATTTATAATTAATAAATAATTAATCTAAATTTATATTTATATTTAGTCATATAATTGTATACGGGTCGCGACGTTTGTGTACTTAATTAGTTTTCTTGTAAACCATAGGTTCCCAACCTATGGTCCGCGAGACATTGTCATGTGGTCCGCGAGCCATACTTACAAAATGTAAAAATATTTTAATAATTTCATTTTCCTTTGAGGCATAACACTAACTATTGATAATCGTGTATAGTAGGTCGTTTCTTTATAAATTTATATTACATAGTGAAACCCATGTTATTAAAAGCCTTTATTCATGTAATAATAATCAAAATTCTAAAATATGTGAAAAAAAATTGATTCTTATTTATAAGAAAAATAAGGTATACAATTGAGGTGGTCCGTGACGTATAGAAAGTTCTCATAGTGGTCCGTAGTACCAAAAAGGTTGGGAACCACTGTTGTAAACCAAGGCATCAATCAACCTTTTAATCTTTTAAGTGACATTTTAACTCATACGCCACACATCCCGAGAAGTACGTTATTACTTATTACAATATTACCTGAAATTATTAAAATAACTCATGGGGAAAAAATTATTTCTGAAAATCATCGTTAATGCTCCGATTCAAAATATTGAAGCTGATAGTAGAACTTGTATAATTTGTGTATTTACTAATTTACTATTTATACTATTTTAAATGCCCACCCTAAATCCTCAGTAATTATTGCTAAGCATACTACATGGTTGGCCACGCATGGGTGCAGAAATCTAAACTTGACACAACTTTCAAATTTGTCATTCATTTTGTAGGCAACCTATTTTTCTTACAGATTTGAAATAATTAAAATTAAGTTAATTTTAACTTAATTAATTTTTTTTATTCATTAATTTTTAACTTAACGAAGTTATAAAAATACTATAGTTAACTTTTAACTTAACTTATTTTTTCTTATATTAACTTAACTTAACGAGTTAAAAAAATCATTAACTTGCCCAGCCTTGGTTACTATTATTATAGTTTGATGTCTAGTTTAATAATTGTCATTTATGAACAGTTGGAATATTGTTAACTGAATTTATACTTATTTAAGTATTTATAATAGTATAATATACTGAAGTAATGTGCCAAATATATTTAAGTTTCAACCAACTATTTTATGAAACATGATATGTAACTGAATACATTAACTGCACATTAATTTACTTTATTTTTTAATAGTGTCAATGAATAACAGTTTTTTTGTATATAGATAAAAAATCCAAGCAAAAAAAGAAAAATAAGAGAAATTCTAAGGTTTGTTATTGTTATGTATAATTTTTATTTTGTTGAAATTTAAAGTGCATTTTTTTATTTGCTGATTGAGGATACTTAAAAATGCATTATCATTTCTTTGAATAAATTGAATTTCCTTACCTTTGGTATCATGCTTTTACATCATTTTCATTAGGTACTATTTTATAATGTATAATGTATACTTTCTAAAGTAATATATTTTTATGTTTGTTAGCAGTCAGGGAAAATCCTTTATAGATTCTGCGTTAATCTTACACAGATCTCAATATAAATATGTGATCTAATCTGATCTGTCTTTAATTTTTTATACTAAACCTTTCGGTACAAATTTCTGATGTAATTTATTTTTGTTAAGGTTTTGACTGGGTTCAGCTACTTAACCATATTAAATTTGAATATTATAATTTATATTATTATTGTTGTCATGCAATTGTAAAATTCACATATAGTTTTTATTAAATTCCCATGTAATAATATATTTTAAAACAATGGTTGGAAATTGTATATTTTTTCTATTTTTCTCAAAAGCATTTACAAATGACAAGTGTATGTCATTATTTGTAAAATATATGCAATTATTTGCAGGTAAGTATTATAGTTCTAAATTTTAAATTTTAAACATTTTGTTTTAGATGGTAGTACAAGAAAAAACTGAAGTATCTAATGAAGTAATAAGACATAAATATTCTAAAATTAATGAATACTTGGAAAAAAATGCATTTGAAAGTCATTCAAAGGAGATATACTATGGTAAAATCTATAATATAATCTTAAATTGTTTTAAATTTAATTTAAAAGCCTTTTCTAAAGTTGTCTGTAGCATAGGCGGAGATCTTGTGAAATATTAAGGGGGGCTCAAATATTTTATGACAAGCAGACCCGTGGGGGCATTGCCCCCACACCCCCAACAAACTAATTTTTACATAAGATCACTCATAAAAAATTGTTCTCGTTGACTCGTTATCATAATAACTTAAATAGTTACAAACATAAAAAAAATAATAATTAATAAACGATTTAAATTTAAATATTTCAAACATATTTTAACTAAATTATTTATTAAAAATCTAAATCACAATCTCAAAAGAAATGTATTCCCAAGAACATCAAACAATAAGTAAAATATAATTTAGTATAAAATGGTCAATACGGTTAACGATTCATTTAATCGTGATAAACTTTACGATAGATTTAATACAGCTATAGCGATAGTCCTATAATAGCTATCGCTTCTAGAGAATTAACAAAAATTAGGAAAAGAAATAATATTTTTCCCATCTAAAATAGAATGGTATAATATGTTATTCAATATAGATGGCCAATTGGTACAAAATATGTACAATATTAGGTATATAAACACAATATAATATTATTGTGAATTGTGACTTAATTATTCGGTATGTTACCGTAAATAATAAATTGGTAAATAGTGTGTATGTAATGTACTATGTACTCTTATATAATTGTGAATATAAGAATATAAAATAATGTAAAAAGTTCTGCTAACTGTACAAAATTACGGTATTGTTTGTTTAATATTCTTAGGGGGTCTTTAACTTCAAATCATTTATTTTGGGGGGACTAAGCCCCTGTAAGCCCCCCCCCCTCGATCCTCACCTATGGTCTGTAGTATTGCAACTTTATAATATTTTATTTAAATTACAGAATTTGAAAATTCATAAAATAGAAAGTTTCTTATTATAAAGGTTTATTTATTAAAAAGCTTCAAGAGGAGTAAAATTACAAGTATATTGTAGGATATACATTTGTAAATTACAAATATTGCCAATAAAACTGCATATGAGACAAAATATCAAAGAAATAAAATTACATATTTTATACTAATAGCCAATAGGTATGATCATAATATGCAGCTTATTGGTATACTTATCATTTTGATGGACGTTCATCTTAGTTTTGTTTCAATCAAAAAATTTTTTTTTATTTTGTGATTGGAAATTTATTTTACTCTATTTATGTATTTGTCCTGTCAAAACATTCTCTAACATATCTCCATCAGCTCTCCACACATGTCCCAGCCACATTTGCATCTCATATATGCTAGTATATTTGGGTTTTCATATAGGCCATACAGATCTTCATTGTGTTCTTTTTTCAAATATTCCTAGGTTGTCTTTGTACACTGGTCCATGTGTATTTCTTAAGATCTTTTCCGCGTAGCAAATTTCTATTGCCTTCTTTTGTCCTTGACCAAGTTTCACTTTCATAGGTTTCTATCGTTAAAGGTTGTGTTCAGAGTAATTTTTGATTTTCTTGATAATAGTTTCGATCCCAGCAACTTGTGTATACTAAAGTAACATTTATTTATTATTTCCATTTGATATTCTTTCTTTTATTTCCCTATGCATATTAAAACACCCAAGTATTTTTAATTATTCACCTTTTTAAAGCTCATACTTCCCACTTTCAGGTTTGACTGGTCTATATTTATTCTTGATTGTACCATAAGCTTAGTCTCTTCTTTGTTGATACATAAACCCATGTTTCTTCTGGCTTCTATTAGCTTAGAAAATTAGTGGGTCTCTCGAGCTGGCCTCTCAAGTGTTTCTTAAGAAAATGATGTCATCAGCATACGTTAACACAGGTTCTTCACCAATTATTTCCATTTTCAGTCATCATTTTACAACTTTTTCTAATCCCAAGTTAAACAAAGGCGGGGGTAACGCATCTCCTTCAAAGACCAATGATAATCTCTGTAGGAAACGTACTTAAAGTAAAGTCTTGTTGTTTCACATTTTTACCAAATTTATATATTTTTGAGGGTTTCTAATTCCTGTTTATTCACACTGTCATAAGCTTGTTTGTAGTTAATGAATATCTCAATATCATAATGTATCCTTATCGAATTCATAGTATTTCTCCATTGTTTGTCTCTAGGCGATTTGTTGTTTTATTATAATGTTATTAATTTTCCTTTTTGTTGGGGTTTCAACATGTGAGCCCATCATACTGTATTACATATCTATCCCTCCAAGTGATGATGTTGGTGGTGTCTTTTTTAGAAGACTTTCAAAATGTTTTTTAAACTCTTCTACTACTGAATAACTCTTTTTCCACTAACTCACCTAAATCATTCCTTAAAATCCTAGTCTGTGATTGATATCCTCGTTTAATGCTGACAATCTTGCCAAAGCATCTTCTGGATTTGTTTTTATGTTCTTCAATTTCTGCCAATATTTTTCACTTCTTAGTACTTCATTGGTTTCTTTTTTAATGTGTTTATGTTTTTCTATGTTCATGGTGCTCTTTTCCTTGATGGATTCTTCTCGTATGTGGTTTCTCCTCTCTATCGCTTTCTTGCATCTATCATTAAATCATTTCTTTCTTTTTGTATTATTATTTATATCATTATAGATGATCATTATTCAAATTGTGGTATGCAGACTCCTAGGGGCAATGAGAAAAATCCATTATTGTGAGTATAATAATCAAATAGGAAAATCTAATTAGAACCATACCCATAACTAGTACAAAACTAGTTAGACAAAACTGTATCATACTGTTAATAAATGAATAACGTTTTTATTTTATAGATTAAAAAAATTATTTAAAAATAAAAAGAAGAAAAAGAAAAAAGTTTTTAAGGTTTGTAATGTTTCTAAGTATTTTTATTCAATAAGAAATAATAAGTATCATAATTTATGTATAACAGTATTAGTGCATCACTTATAGTATGTAAAATATATATTCTAATATTATTTTTATTGCAATAAAATTATATTATTATTATATTGTGTACTTACAGTATTATGTGATATTTACGTATTATAGTGATGGAAGTTTCGAGCTATTTTTTTCGGCCATTATTATTATTGTTAGTTTTACTTTATTCACACAAAAGTTCACTAGAATAATGTAATAAAAAAACACAACTACTATTAGCAGTACTACAACTTTTATGTGCTATTATTATTTAATATTTTTCACTTTCATATTGAGTGTCCACACGTTCACCTGTTTCTCAAAGGTTACGTTAGGTTAGGTATATTAGTTTTACCACTGTGATTACATAATATTTTAGTGAACCTTAAAACCTCATTATAGAGGTTTCAAATTTAGATAATTTAAATATTGTATGAATGATGAGGTTGTTTTAATGAATGTTTTAGGATGTGACCCAGAAAGAAATAATTCCTCCAAAGAAAGATACAATAGAACGACAACAATCAATCACAACCAGTGAAAAAAAGTTTCCAGACAATGATATCACTACAGATTGTAAAAACTATGACCGTTACATCTTCAAAAAATATTTTGAATTTCTCTCTGCTCATACCGTCAATGATAAAGGTCTGTATTTCAACAATTATTAATCTATTATAAATGCTTTAAGTTATTGCACCTATAAAGTTATGTTGTTTGTGGCCAAAGTGCAACATTTACTCTGGTAAGTCTAAATTATTATCAACACATTATAGAATACAAACTTGTGAAAGACTACTAGTATGTAGAAGGTATATGTAAAAAGTAGTTTCTTATCAAACAGTGTCAATTGTCTAGTGATCATTATATAAGAAAACAATAATTTATTAATGTTGTTTACAACTAAAAAATAGTTAGGTATTTTTGCTCTTGTTTCCTATGTTATATTGACAAATATTTTGAACTTGGATTGAAATTCATAAGAATATTTATATGATGTATATTGTATACTCTAGTTTTGTTTGAAACTTTATAGTTCAACAAGTCATTATAGTTTGAATTATTTAATTATAATTTTGGTATACCAATTATTTAAATAACGCTTGAACATTTATAAATCAGTAGACTTAAGAATACATTCTACTGTATTAGGAAATAATATTTCAGTTGTGATGTTTGTGAATTTGCTTAGAAAATTTATTCTGTTTATCGATAAGATTGCAGACTTGTGTATGGTAAAATATCATACTTAGATTTTATTTATGAACACTTATTAAAATTAATTAATTTTTTTTTAAATCTTAATTATTAGAATTGGTTTTCAATTAAGAATTTGATAAAATCAACAGATCTGTTTCAAAACTCAAACTTTTTGTCTTATTTATTTCATTTCATAAATATTTATATTTTTTAATATTAATATTAATATTTATTTATTTATTTCTTAAATAAATCACAACTCTGAGACTGGGTGGGAGTGGGAGAAATGTTAATGTCTTGCAATATATTTTAAATGTTTTAATATTTTATTTTATTTCTTCAATAATTACTGAACTGACATTTTATATTAATTCTGTACCTTTATTTAAATTAATTAGATGCTACTATGATTACCCCATATTCTAGTTCAAAAACCTTAATAGCCAGCGATGATGATCCATTTTTGTGAGTATTAGAATTCAAAGGTTAGGTTAGGTTAGCATATTTTATGCCCTAGCCCTTTGTATACATGATATACCTCTTATTTAAATAGTTGACAAAATTGTTTTTTATATTACAATTTGAATAACTCCTTTCTTTTATAGATCTAATAAATCATTAAAAAAGAAAGAAAAAAGGAAAGCTTCTAAGGTTTGTACTTCATAAATTATACTTTATTTAATGATCAAAAATATTGACTATTGGTAGAACCTAATTTGCAAGTAGATATCATAATCATGGAAGTTTAAGATGTTATTATTATAATATCATGGCACGGGAAAAATTATTTAAATTTATATGCCTTCCCTTAGTCTTAATGTATTGGTTCTACAATGATGTATGATTTTTTTTTTTTGTGTGTGTGTGTTACAATCTTTTGGAACAGTAAAAATACTTCCGATTTTCTTGGTAGGAAAGTGAATGTAGTTGTTATTTTAATTGGTCAAATGTAAAAAAATCTGAATAGTTTTCAAACTTGTCAAGAAAAACAAACTAAACATTTTAGACAAAATCTGTATTTGAAAAAATAAATTCTGTTCTTTAGTATAATAACTGTAACCAGAAAAAAGTTAAGCAGAAAGTCAAATTAATATTTTATGAGTGTTTGAAGTTAGACATTGGCTATTTTAATCAACAAATTCTCACACAACACATACACTTAGTTATATTTTAAGCTGACAGACCGTTTTCGCTCATAAACGTTTTTCGTATACATCAGTTTTATATCATTGAATTAAAATTTCACACATCCATTACAGTGACTCTTTAGACACCTTACGTGCAGCAGAGTGTTACCCACTTAGGTGCCTGCTTTTTAATATAAATAATATAAAATAAAACTTTTCTTATTTTATGTTAATTATATTTTCATATTTTTATAAATTTTATTTGTTAAAAATAGACAAATAATGATCGCATATTTAAGATACCTACAGTATTTATATTTTCAAATAACAAATCACAATAATAAAGTACATAACTGAGTAAGTTCCAATCATTAGTTTTTGTTCATTATAAATTGTAGTTTCTTTTAAATTCTGAGCAAAGGGGTGAGTTATTTTAAGTCAATTTTACAATGATGTGTTTTTATTTATTTTTTTTGTGTGTGAACATTACAAGTAGTCAAAATAATACTTTGATTCTAAACTTCAGTAACTTGTCTGGTGTGAAAGTGAATCCAATGGTTCAATTGAGAGGTCAAAATTGAAAATTCTCAGTAATTTTTATAAGTGTCAGGAAAAACATTAAATTTTAAGTAAAAACCAGTTTTAAGAGCGATTGAAGTTAAAATTATTTTGAGATTTGAATTTCACCTGTAAATTAACGATTTCTCATTGAACGATTTTTGGAAAATTTATAACACGGTGCTTTTTAAATAAATTTTAAGTTCAAATTTGGATAAAGATAGATATTTAAACAAAGATAATGATTTTAGCTATTTTGTTGTTATTTAAAAATATTATTCGTTGTTATTTGAAACTTTACAAGTATATTAATATATTTTATACACACAATGACATTTTTAAATGCAATTTTTTCTCAACAATTAATTCAAGCTACTGTCTTACTAATTATTATAATAGTAAGATAATTCACGTTATTGCTATAATAACTTAAAATATAATACTTCAGCCTTTAAATAGGCTGATGGACCGTTTTTGCTCAAAATTGTTTTTTGTATGCAATGGTTCATTGTATTTAAATTTTAAAACGTCCCATTCCTATGACCTGCTCGGCACGTACGGTACAGCGGAGCGGCGCCCTCTTGCCCAACCTTTTTTTTTAACTTAGATATTAAATATTTCAAAATGCATACCATATTTATTATGGTAAATTATAGTAGTAGATAATGTTTAAATAATGATCTATGAACTGTCTTGAAAGAATTGAAATTTTAATATTCTTAGTATTTCAATATTTAATATATTTTTAACATAATATTCTGCAGGTCATGACTTCAGAAATAATGATACCGAAAAAATCAAAGAAAAGTAAACGACAAGCTACATTAGTTAATGAATATTCGGGTAAGGATGCCCCCTTAATAGCGTCAATGGATAAGAAAACATACAACAGTGATGGATACGTGTATGAAGGCAGTGGAAAGAATTATAAATTCTTCTGTGCTCAAGGTGATAACATGGCAAGAGCAGACATCAACATTGACCCAGGTCTGTAAATTCTGATTTAATTATAAAGAATCCAGGCACTAATTTTCTAACACTTGATACTGAAAAAATATCTGTAGTATACAATGTAAATAAAATCTAACTTGTCTAGATATTATAAAACCCATTCCTGTATAAACCTCACACATGTAACTTTTACATTTTATTTTATCTAAAAAACTTGAAGTTAGTCATCCAAAACTTTCATGGAAAATACATTATAGGTTTTTAAATTTGTTTCAAATATTAATTTGTTAAAAACCAAAAGTGTTATTGTTAAAATTAAAAAATTTAATTTTATATCATTGAAGGATGTCTGGTATCCTTAAAATAAAAAACATTTTGTACATAATCAATGGCGACTCAATAATGACATTTCTTCAATTAATATTTTTATACTTGTTATATTCATTTTTGCCAAAAATTGCATTTGAAAATGTCATTGTGTGCACAAAATATAATTATAAACTCTAAATGTTGTAAGTACCCATGAATAATTTTTTTAAAATACAACAAAATAACTAAAATTGTTATTCTTGGTTTAAATATACAATTGCATCCAAATTTGAACATAATATGTAAGCTTTGAAAACTATTGGGACTGCAATAAAATCTAGTGACAAGAAAAAAAAACACTGAACAGATTTCTCGCTCTTCTCAAAATCTAAAAATGTATAGAAATGTTATACCTGTTTTTACTGTGGAAAAATTATGAAATGCTTACTATTATTTAAGAACCCTGGCATATTATTTGTTATCAATTGAAATAATTATATGTATTAAAATATTTAGATGCGGATACTATTAAGACCACTTATTTTTCAAAAAGTTTAAAAGATAACAAAGAGAATACATTATTGTAAGTTGAAGACAATCTTAAATTTACTTCCTACCTCATAATAATATGTAAAAAAGCATTCTTGTTATTTTATGTGTAACAATATATTTGTTTTAAAATAAGAACTGTTTTTCTTTTTAGAAGTAAAACATTGGTCAAAAAACTAAAGAAGCAAAAGAGAAAACATGTAACGGTTTGTGTAATAATACAATTTAACAAATATTCATAGACTTATACTACTAGACTAGAACTTACTGTGTATACCAAAAGCACTACGAGTTGCATAGTAAGTAATAACAACTCGTAGTGATATAGGCTGTTTTAACAAAAAAATACTGTGATGTAGCCTGTCTTGATAATAAAATACAATAATCTATGTATCTTACACTACCACCCCTCACTACCATACATATTGAGTAAATAAGTAAGCAAAAAGCACCCTCTACATTGTTATGCTTTCCATACACTCATTGCTTGTATAGTAGTATAATAAGGTCTATGTAAATACTATGCATTATTATGACATAATATTTTATAATAATTAATGGTAGTGTTCTATAATTGTGCTTTAAGTATCAGGTTATTATAATTAAAGAGTAAATTTTTATGCCATTGCATATCTTTTCCTTAGTAATACTTGCGGCATTTGATATAAATTTATTAAACTTTTAAGATTGTATTCAAAGTGTTATGTAATTTATTAGTATATTTAGATCATTTTTTTATTTCTATTTTGAGTATATTTTTTATGTAGGTACAAAATATACTTATCAGTTATCCATTAAATTTTTTTTAGACATTAAACAACATCATTACCTACATTACATTTTCTAACAAATCATCTCATTGTATGTTATATTTCATGTCTATGGGTAAAAATAATTAATTTTCTTATGCATTTGTTTTTAGATATTATTACCTTTCTTTTATATATAAAGATAAATAATAAGTTTAGTATTTAAAAAATATGTTTCTATTATTATTAGGTATGTATAATCTCATTTTTCATTTTACCATGGATATTTTAGTATTTAGTATTGCATTTGTTCATTGCCTATGATTTCTAATGCATTTCTAGTACTTAGTCCTCCTTTTAGTTAAAATATATAAATGTTTACAACATTAGAAGTCATTGAAAGTTTAGAGCGTATATTTGTATGATTATAATAAGTATTTTATTCGTAAAAGTTAAATTAAAATTATTGTGATTACTCATTACATAGGTACATTTATTTAAAAATTTAAAACATAAATGTTAATTAATACAACCTGTCATTCTAATATACCATTTATGTAAAATATATTATTATTAGTAGTATTATTACTATTTAGTTACAATGAAGTAATCTCGTTTCAAGTACGAACAATTTCAAAATAATATACAGTAATGTTATTTTAATGAATGTTTATAGGTGGCGACCAGAGAAGAAATAGGGCCACTGAAGAATGATGCGATGGAACAAAAACGACCGATTACTGAGTGTAACAAGTATTTAGAAAATGATATCGTAAAGAAACCGTTGCACACCCCCGAAATGGGTGACACATCAATGACACATCACTTCAATGATTACGAGCCTGTCGTTGTTGAAAAGTCTTTTGAACTTTTCTCTGTTCGGGATGAACACCAAACGAAGGATCAAACCGTCGGTAACGAGGGGACGTCGTATGTGATTAATAATACAAACATTAAATCTTCCAATGTACAATCATCATGCGCACCAGAATCTACACGAACTGGAAAAAGTTTTATCGAGTGTGATATTTGTTCAAAAACGTTTATTAGTAAATATAAATTGTCCATACATTATAGAACGCACACCGGTGAAAAACCTTACGAATGTGACATTTGTAGCCGGTGTTTTACTGAACGATCAACTTTGGTTTCACATTATAGAACGCACACCGGTAAAAAACCTTAGAATTGTGACATTTGTAGCCGGTGTTTTACACAAAGATCAAATTTAGTTTCACATTATAGAACGCACACCGGTAAAAAATCTTAAACGTGTCGCCTATGTAGCGTTTCGTTTTCCGTAAAAAGTTCATTGGTCTCGCATTACAGAATGCACTCCGGTGAAAACTTACAAATGTGACGAAATTTCATTTTCGCAGAGGAGTTGTTTTTATCATGCACCGATCATTGAAGACATATGCGGCTGATCCACTTAGACAGCTGTTTTTAAGTACCCATATTATGTAGGTATATATTTTTTCGTTTAATAAAGGATTCCATAACAAATATTTTCTACTCGAGATTGAGTGTGTTTCAAAATAAATATATAGAAAATGTTTTTTTCTTGCATATATATTGCTAGTTCTAAATGTATTGTTATTCTGAAGAGTTGATGTAAAATATTGTCCCCTACTATATTATTTGGATTTTTTTTTTCCTAAACTAATGGATTGTTATAATGTGTCTACTGAAGACGTAAGAGAAAGAAACAATTTCCATGTAATATAAACAATTGTATAGAAAAATTATTTACAATTTTGAAAGCCCATTGCTTAAAATAATAATTTTTTTTTTTTATAAATTTAGTTGAATCGTCCATATTATACATATTAATCTGTATTATTTATAACTAATATAGGTTCCAGTAATATAATTTTAGATTTTTAACTATTACATTTATATTTTCTTATTCCAGAAATTAAATTAACAGCACTAGTTTTTAACTGTATCTAATATTTTGTAACTGCATGTGGTCATCGTGTTACATTCTACCTACCGTATTACGTTTCTATATTAGCTAGTATATAGTATGTTATTTGTATACCTAGTATTATATTATGTTTTTAATAAATTTCATATTATAATTCTCGTACTTTAAATAAATACAATATTTATTTAACAAGGTATTTTAATTTTTTGCTTATTTAATATATTAATATATTTAATAATAATGTACAAAATAAATCATTAACATATCCTCATAAATTATGTTCTCTTCGCTGATATTATTTTAAACGCAGCTGGAATAGTGGATTTGATTTACATGTTGGATTTTAAAAACGGTTTCAAGTACAGTTCAAACGAGCGGTTCACCGGTTCTTGGTTCAGAGGGCTTTTATTGGCTTCCGACAAAAGCCGTTCGTATACGTTTCCGTCGTAACAGCCTAACGCGGAGTCCAATATTTCGTCTTGAATATCAAAACTGTCTACTAGACCTACTGCGTTGGGTCTAATACGTTTTAAACAGTCTTCTAATAAACGTTGTATCGAATGTACATCGTTCGGTTTTAGGTTGGAATGCTGAAATTGATAAATTTAATCGTGGTAATGAAATAACATAAGTGCAGAACAAGCAGACGAAAAGTCATATTTACCTGTAGAAAATCACCTAGTTTATTTAATATCCACAGCGCACAAATTAGCTCGCCGAGTTGAGTAAGAACGGCCATCAGCTCTGGTGAAAATTGATTTGTTTCAAGCGTTTTTACGTATACGCTAATCACAAACGCTCTGCAATGCGCCTGTAAAAATATAAAATAGTTTTCTGAAACGAATTTCGACATTCAATTTTTTTAAATACCTACTAACATACCACCAAAAACTTCAGATAAAATTACTCTTAGACAATAAAATAAATAATAATGTATTAGAGTTAGTGGAGTTACCTATAAATAGGTATACAAAAACCAAAAAAAATGTATTAAGTTAGAGTGCATAGTTTGGGGCTCAGGTACAATAAGATTATCGGAACAGTTAATTATAATAAGTATAACGATGACCCTGCTATAGTTTTTCAACTAAATTCAGAAAACAGTAATAAGGCTACCCTCTTTAGCAATTTTTCAACCATGTGTAGGATGGAGCTTAACCAGAATAGGAATTTGATATCATTTGAACAAAACTAAACTTTAATATTGATCAGTGAACACTTCTGCAGTTTTTTAATACATGAATTAAATTGTTCAGCTCAATCTACGTTTTTTTAATTCTGAGCGAAGCGATGAATGTATTGGTTGTACAAAGATGTGTGTTTTTTGTATATCTATACACGATTTATATTAGAAGAAATGGTTTGATTTTCAACTTCAATATTATTTTCTTGTAGGAAAGTGAATCTAGTTAGTTTATTTTTGGAAAGGCAAAATTAAAAATCTCAGTACTTTTCTTATTTTTAAAAAACATAAAAGTTAGCGAGAAACGGAATTCCTACTCAAAATAAGATTTTTATTTTGACAATATAGAATTTTGTTGTAATTCATTAACAAAAAATTATTGACACCTACTTAACATACTATTGTTTTAATTTTCAAAATATTTTATCTACCAATGAGTTTTTTATATTCATTGGACATTTTCTATTTTTTTTTTTTTTTGTTTTCTATATGTATCAATAAACACAATTTCTTATTAAAGCTATTTAAAAAATGTTAAAGATACATAGAAATATCACACATTTTTTGCAATATAGGAACTTTTGCAATTTTATACTAATACAGGTTAACCGTCCTCTCAGAATCAAATAAACCAATTTTCGTATGCAATAATTTATCACGGAATTCAAATTTAACAAAACAAACTTTATGGGGACTTACTCAATAACGAGGTACGCTCCACGTCTATCGTATAGCAGAGTAGTTACTACCCCCTTTTTATATTTAAAATGCAATGTTAAATAGGTACCTGCAATGGTCAAATCCTGTACCTACCTACAAAGGTTGTAGACAATGTTACTACCTACTCATTTTAATGTAATAGGTACATGCATTATGAATATTATATTATACGTATTAATAAAAACATTAAATATGTTAGTTTATTTAAAATATATATTTTAGTATTTTAACTATTTATATATAGGTAATAGGTATATATACTTCAGATGCTTGAGTAAGTTTAATGGATATTTGATTCCAAGCATCTTCTTGTGCGGTTCCAGAATCCATCAGTCGTTTCATGGTGAAATAACAGTCGTCGATTTTACTAGAAATAAAAAACTAGGGAATTATTCCTTTTATACTCGTACTATACCTACATTCTTGATTTGTCTAATAATTGTAATATGTAATCAATGAGCACCATTTAGATAAGCCATAAAAAAATGTTTGGTAACTCTTTAACAACCTACTTATAAGAGTTGAAAAAATAAATTATAAACACCCTCCCTGTCTCGAAGAATCGATTGATATAACTTTTGAACGGTCTAGTAGATTTTGAGTCTGTGTAAGAATAAGAAATAGTAAATTTTAAGTCTGTTTAATATTGTATTAAGACATGGTGCAGACTGGAGTGGCACGACTCATTTTCTTTTTCTAAATTAAAAGATTATACCTATGTATATAATATATTATATTTTTATTCCGCAGATCCAGATAAATTATAATAGAAATAGTAGAACATTTTTAAGTTTTAAACACCATTACACCGAATATTAAATAACGAATTTAACAGAGTTTGAATCATACAGAGTTTGCATTTTTAACGGACAACGAATACACGGGGTAAGCTAGTTATGTACTTATGTATAAAAATATAATTAATATACTGTAATTTAAATCTATGGCTTTAATAATTCTATAGATTTACTATATACATAATACATATAGTACATACCTTCCAGCGACTTGGAAAAACGCGCTCACCATACAATCTAACGTCGTCGTCCAAGGCGATTGTTTTAAGCTGTTGTATTTTCCCAAGTACGACAAGGTTTCCGACGTAGACACATAGTTTCCCATTTGCACGGATTCATACGATTTCATCAAAAATCTATTAACTCCAAAACACGTTACGACTTACGAGATAGGTATAGACAATGGCATAGCTAGGGGTGGGTGGGTGTTTATCCCCCCCCCCCAAATTGACTTTTTTCCCCTAATAAATTAATGTATTATTTATATTCGAAAATTCGAAAACTGTAAAAATCATGGGTTAAATTTATACTTTACCCCCCCCCCTCACCATTTAAAAATCTTATCTTCTCCACTTGGTACAGCTAATTACTAGTAAGTGTGATCAGTAAACTTTCTTAACATAATTTTCACGAGCCTTGATTGCTTGATTACTTGATTGACAAGATTGATATTTATACTCCTTATATATACTATAGTCACTAGGTATTTATATTTCATTTATTAATATTATTTAATAAATACATATACACTATATACATATTACATTTAGAAATTAAGAAGATTTCAGCGCAATTTTGGTTTTCTCTTTTAGAATCAGGCTCAACATAGTTAAAACTTATTACAACAATTATAGAGGATACTATTTTCCAGGGTATGACGGAAATCGGTTTTATATATTTTTTTTTCATTTGAACTTAAGCCCGGCAACTAAGGCCATTAGCTGTTATAGGGGTAAGGTTGGTACGGTAGGTTGTTTTTATGATTGTTAGGGTTGTTACGGTAGGTAGCAAACACGTGTATGTGTGGCAAGGTTTTTAACTACTACGAACCCGGGTGGTCACCCATCCGGGAGCTATAGTAGTTGTGGCCGTTACTTACTCCCAGTCGCATTCCGCCAACGCGCCACGCCAAGCCACATTTTTTATATTTTATTATTATTTAACTTAGTATTCGCCTTTCAACATTTAAATTTTGATGATGTTTAAATGGTTTTGAGACAATATTTAGACAGATCGATATATCATCCCCTCAAAAATATTATTCTCTATCGATATTGTTATGGCTGATTTTAGTCTAAAATTATTCCAAAACATAAAAAAAATGATTCCGAGTAAATGCGTTTTGTCAATGTTGCGCCGTGGGCCAGATATAGAACGCAAACAATGCGCTGACATCCTCTTAAACCAATTTGAGCGTGTCACTGACTCACTGTGTCAATATAAATGTAATAAACAAATAAAATATATAGTTTAAAAATTAATACTTTGAGCGATTACTTTTAAGAATACTAGTTTGAACGATTTTTTGTCATTTATAATTGCAGCAATGTATTATTTCCGTTCAATGAATTCTAAACGAGATGGATAATGTGGCTTTCCACTAACTATATCTTTAACTTCGTTTGACTAGATTTTTTCTTCTTTCAATGAACGTATACATAGGTACTAACATGACAATGACAGTTCCAAATCGCCTATGCCCTGCAGCTATACGATGAACGATCCGATTGTATTATGTAATACTATTAGGGTATTATTTAGGTTTACTTTACCAAAGAGAGACAAATAAAAAATTAATTGATTTCACCAAAAGTTACGTAATATATATCGCCTATTTTATTTGGCTATTTGGGATCGCAGATTAGTATTTTAGCTTAAGATAGACGATAATTATGATTACGGATCATGCGCATGCTTCAATAA